GGCTCAGGCTGTGCCAGGGGAGGGTCAGGTTGGACATTAGAGAAATTCCTTCCTGGAAAAGATTGGTTAAAGACTGGAACTGCCCAGGGAGGTGGTGGAGTCCCCACCCCTGGAGGTGCCCAGGGAAGGCCTGGATGTGGCACTCAGTGCTCTGGGCTGGGGGGGATCAGTCACAGGGTGGATTTGATGATCTTGGAGGGCTTTTCCAGCCTCAGTAATTCTGAGATTCCATGGATCTGAGCTGAAGGACCTGGTTTACAGCTTCCACCAAACAGCACCTTCGGTGTCTGGGGGTGTCTCTCACCGTGGTTCTGCCTCAGGGGGAAGTTTTTGGAGACTTTTGGAAGCCCACAGCTGAGCTGTCCCAAAGCCCAGCCCTGCCCATGGCAGAGGTGCAGCTGGATGGGCTTTAAGGTCCCTCCCAACCCAACTCCTTCCCTGATGCCATGATTGGACCCAGTAACTCTGTGTCCACCTGCCTCAATCTCTTCTCCTTCCTCGAGTCCTTCTCCCTCGTCTCCTGGAGTTCTGGAGCAGGAAATTCTTCCCACCCCTCACACACACTCCAATTTAATGTCTGCTCTGAAACATGGTTTCCCCTCAGAGTTTTGACAGGAATCTCCTTCCAGAGGAGAGGTTTTCCCCTCGTGACCTCATCAGGAAAGTCAGGGAGAGGAAGGAGGAGCTGGGGCTGATCATCGACCTCACCTACACCAGGCGCTACTATGGGCCAGAGGTGAGTCTGGGACTGGGAACGGGCAGGATTTGCTTCCAGGAGGAGAACTGGAAGAGTGTGAGGCACTGGAATCTCTGACAGGGGATGAGGTGAACCATTGCAGCCCCATGGGGGTCTTTGTCCTTGCTCAAGTACCACGCTGGGTTCTTCAACCCCAGACCAACCAGCACAAGTTTGGGGATACCCTAAAGCTGCTTTTATGGGATCTCCTGATTGCAAACAGCTCTGAGTGTGTGGATAATTGCTTGGAAAAGTGTTCCAGCCTCTGTGTGCCCTCCCCAGGGAGGAAAGAGAGGCAGAAAAAATAATATGGAATTTTGGTGCTATGTCAGAGGAGTGAAGCAGAGCTTTTCTTACCTAAAACTGTGTTACTGCTCTTTTAGGCTCAGTTGAAAATTTCATTTTCTGGCTTCTGGTTCATTAATAATAAAAAAATCCTTATGCTTTTTCTGGAGATTATGGACTGTGCTTCTTGCAGGAGCTCCCAGCCACACTCTGCTACTCGAAGATCCTGACCATGGGCCACGAAATCCCAAACAAACAGACCATTTTCCAGTTCAAATGTGTGGTAAAGAAGTTTCTGAATGACAACAAAGACAATGGTGGGTGTGGGTTTCCCTGGTGTTCTGGTACTGGGGTGGGCCAGTGGTGTTTTAAGGAACAGCAGGAATTTCTTTTCCTTCCCTTGGCATGGGAATGTCAAGGCAACAGGTTGGGTTTGTTTTAGGGATGGAATTCCTGTCGTCCCTGATAATCCAGGCCAGGTTGGACAGGGCTTGGAGCAACTTGAGACAGTGGTGGGTGTCCCTGCCCCTGTCAGGGACTGGCACTGGAGGGGCTTTAAAATCCTTTCCAGCCCAAACCATTCCATGATTCTGGGATAATTGGGCAGTGAGTGGAACTTTAATTGAGTTTGAGTCACCTGACTGTAGCAGAAGTAACAAGTTCTGTCAGGACTGCTAGTTAGACATAATAGACATAAATAAAGTTAGACATAATAAATACAGTAAGTAAGAGAAGGTAAAAATAAATATTAATAAATAAATTAAGCATAATCAGACATAAATATCATTATGTAATATTGTGTGTGCCCACTTCTGTGTAGTTTATTGGTGTCTGATGGAGGGTTAATGCAGAGGGGCTTGTTTGGGGGGGATTTTGGGGAAAAGACGCTTAAATATCCTCTGATTTGTGTGTTACAGACAAACTCATCGGGGTTCACTGCACCCATGGCTTGAACAGGACTGGATACCTGGTGTGCAGGTGAGTTGTCCTTATCACAG